TATATATATATATATATATATATATATATATATATATGTGTGTATAAACTCATTAGTGGGCTGAACTGAACATCACCTCACCTGGGGGCCATAAGTGGCCCATGGGCCGCCAGTTGAATAGCCCTGAAATATACTATAGACCAGACTGTAAGTGCTACAGCTAGGTGCTGTGGCCTTTGTTGCACTTAAACCACTATAAAGTTTTATGTTTTTGCTGGTAATGCTCTAAATGTTTTAAAAATAGCGTTTTCCTGAAATAATCTTGAGAATGATATTTATAAGATGGTTTCAGACTACAAGTATCATTAGCTCATCATTCTGGTCACATTTAGTTTTCTGTCCACACTGATGCCAATCAAATATATATTTACTAGTGTGTAAAGCATTTTTACAGAACCCCACTGGAAAATATCTGAGTTGTCACCAAGTTCCTCTCAAATAAACACTGAATCAGATGTTCATGGATCATCATGGCTGTATTAAAGACTATGACATATATGAAATTAATACTTGTTGTTTTTCCATAATTGTGGTAAAACCTGATATTGTTGATCATTTCCCATATTCAATACATGTTTATTAATTGCGTATGCATAAAGTACATTATTTATTTCAATATGTTCTTTTACTCATTTGACATTTTCAGTGAACGATACCTTTAATATAAGTGGCCAAACATTACACATTGTAAGTTATTATGACTGACATCTATCCTGAGCTTTTCAATTCATTTCACTTCGATCAACAAGACAACACTAGGACACCAAGCATAGATTTTTTTTATGAATCTGACAGCTGAAGGTGGAGGGGGCTGCAGAAAATATCACAAAATGTAACGAGCATAAACAAACACAATTTAGAAAAAAGTCCAGCTATGTCATCGGAGCTGCAATTAAAATCTGTAAACTGAGCAAGAAAACATTTCAGTTAAATAAATCTCCTTTTGTCTGTGCAGCAGTGACACTTTTACCTGCACTGCTTGTTTATTCATCTCACATTTCCCTCTTCTTTAGCAAGCTTCAGAAGTGAGCGGTTAAGTTTCAATACTATTTAAAAATGCACATAAAAATAGGTCCCCAATTCAAAGCTACTTACTCTCAGGGCTGGAGGCTTTAATGATTTGTCATAATATACATTTATAATTCACGCACCATGCAGTTTCTTAGTCTTTTACATATAATACAAGAGAATTATTAGTGTTTTGATAGATGCTGCAATGTCAAAGTGCCCCTTCGAGTAATACCATGGCTTGAGGGGGTGTAATTATCAGATCAAAAACAGAACATGATGGCGTTATCGCTGCGTACCTAGACAGTTTAATTATGATATGAAGTCGATTAATAATGTCCAGTGAAGCACGACAGACAGGTTTCACATCTTTGTTAAAAAGTGACACTGTACAATAGCTTCCATGGCAACAAGTTAAAACCACAGAGACCCCCTCCCAACCCCCGTTCAGACTCCACGTCCCGACGCCCCCATATATTTTACAGAAGTTCATTCCAAAGAGGATGGCCAATCTTGAGAAGAATAAAAAGACAAAGATCACGTTTTAAATAAGAAACTGAAAGACAAAAGTGGACCGGGGGCGGGTTTGAAATTAGTGTACAAAAGAATAAACAGGAAACCCACCACAAATAAACACTTATTCTTGAAAAATCCATTGGAAATCAATTTCTTTTTACACTTTGAACAGTTTTATTTCTGAAGGATTGCATGATAATACTCCAGGATCCTAAAGGACAGAGAATGGTGGCCCCAAAACAAACACAAAAATAAAAATGGAGGACGGGACATCACTCTTCCTCTGTGCATCCCAGTACTTCCACACGCAAAGTGATCCTGCCGTACCACGACCAGGGAAGGATCCGGATGAACCGGGCGTAGATGGGAGGATCTATCACATTCTTTCTGTGTGTGTCATTGTCAAAGTTCCCCTGGAATACCTGCAAAAACAACAATTTGGAATTAGCCTTTTTTTTTTTTTTTTCAAAGAAAGCATTGAATTAAGACAGGTTTATGTTTAACAAAAAAATTAGTAGGAACACCCCCATTCTGAAAATGTCCCAGCAATTTAACTTGGTGGATGTCTTGCTTCACTTTGTGTTGCCTTAAAAGACCCGAGCAGGTGAAGAGTGAAGCTCAGCCAGTCAGACCTTCAGTTCAGTCATTTCCATCTCGATAACATTCAATGAGCTCTATTATATTTTATGCATCACTTGTGTGCACATCATTGGTTTTCTTCCTGTGGAAACCTATTCATTTTTAAAGTGTCACAGCTGGAAGTGCCACCTTTAAAATCAGACAAAAACATCATCTACTGTTACGTCTTACTGAATTGTGTTAATAATAAACATCGTTGCTGTTTATGTTTTCTTGCCATTTTAAAGTCTAATTTCTTGACTTCATAATAAAATAGGGACCTTGGTAGATCTTAGGATTGCTGTTATAAAAGATCCTCCTTCTGTTTCCTTATGCTATCAGAATAAAAAAAGTTTAAACTTGTCTGTATGAACTCTGAAGAAACACGTTCTTAACTCATCATGTAACCTTTTTCATATTTTATAAAGAAAAACATCCATTTGAGCTGCTGAGAGAGATTTTAGTGAAAGGGAAATAATTTACATTCAACAAATATAAAAATTGTCTTTCACACATTCTGAACTAACAGTTGAAGGTTTGACCAATACCTCATTCAAACAAGAACAGTACATTCATCACGTCCTGCTCTTTTGTTGAATACCTAATGGTTTTTCCTGTGCTTAATAGACAGCAGGAATAAGTAAATAGGAAATAAATGCATCTACAGGGAGCGCTTTATTGAAGGATCTGATCATTTCAATTAAAATGTTATCATTATGTCTGTGTAACTGGAACATAATGGGATTCAGTGTTGTGAGCAATGGAAAAGTCAGCCGGTTAAATCCAAACAGGTGCTGAAAACTGGGATTTGCATATTCAGTTTTTACTGTTAAGTCCTTTTAAATATTCATAAGAACATAGAGATTTAGCCACAGCCGTTGTAGTGAGGAGTACATTTTGTACCAGTTTAGTACAACAATGTCATAAATGATGGAGAATATTCTGAATGAAGCTGTCAAAGTAGTACAACTTAAAAATATTGAGTTTTAAGGTTCACATGAGGAAAGAATGAATCACTGAATCTCAATAAAGGCTACAGCAAAGTTGGCATGAACTGGTTAGTGTCTACAAAAGATAACAAAAATACAAACATGTCAAAAATTGGTCATAAATTATTTAAAGCAGCTTTTATATTTTAACTAGGCTATATGTGGAAACATGCATATGGTGTTTTCAGAAAATGTCATGGAGATTTTTATTCAGAAGTACTTTAAAATGTATGTAGGTAAACAACATACAGTATTTTATACTAGAAAACCTGATTTACCCTGATGTTAGCGCTATTCAACAGACAACAGGATATTTGTATATTTTTTTCTTTCTAATTTTATTAATGATCAAATCATTCTTTGTAAATGTTTTATCTTGATGAATCACATACCTTAAGGTTTCTTACAAGGAACTCATTTACGTAAGATTGATCTGTTTGGCCTCAGATACGAGCCGACTATCAAATTTCTCCTTGGACATGAGTAACTAGGGAAAAGCAGAAGGTTGGGAAAAAGCTTTGTCTATTGCAACCCCCCCCCACCCCCCCCCCCCCCCCACACACACACACAAAAAAACTTCTGTGCAGGCTTATCAGAAATGTGCCTGCTGACCAACATTTTAGCAGGACTATGGCCTATCAACTGAAAGTGCTCAAGGACAAATCTCAACGTCTTGACGTCAAATGCATATGTAATGTGTCTGTAAATGTGCTTGCTGGTAGAGTTTTTTAACTTCTCAAATCGAGTCCTGATAGGAAAAGATATGAAGAGATCTTTTTTGTAATACCACTATCCACCCTCATGGCCTTTCCCCCTTTTTTATCTAAAAGTATTCTGATAAAGAATAAGCGGCCGCGCTATGATAGCAGCAGCTACACGCACTCCGCCCATCTTTCGGATGACTGCACGAGCATAATTTCACTGTATCCCAGTACAATGATAATAAAGCTTATTCTGATTCTGATTCTATTTTTGCTGTCAGTAATTTTTATGAACTATTTAACTATCGAGACAAAAAATAAAGAAAGTGTGAAATGTGCAATGGTTTGAGCATCAATAAAACCTGTTTACTTTGAAGGAAACGTGTGAGTTTCTACTTGTCATCACATCTGAATCTGTTTTTTAATGTCAGCTGTTTTCAGTCTTTTGTTATTAGTCTGAGAAACAATGTGAAGCATATACATTTTCATTGTCTTTTTTTATCTCATTTGTTTGTTGATGATTGCAGGTCACTTTTTTTTTTCTTTTATCCCACAATCTTTTTCATCATCTTCCAGCTGCAGTGAAACCCTTCCTGTCTTGTCTTTCCTATCTGGAGCAGCTTATCACAGAGAGTGTGTGTCTACAGACAAATAAACAACACATCATCACATGACATTCTGCTCTCTGTCATTTCTCTCTTTTTCTTTTTATAGTTACATGCTTTTATGTTTTGTTGTATCAATTTACTTTGTAAAACAACATTGTGCAGAATATAACTAATACAGTGGTGCTTGAAAGTTTGTGAAGCCTTTAGCATTTTCTATATTTCTGCATCAATATGACCTAAAACATCATCAGATTTTCACAAAGTTCCTAAAAGTAGATAAAGAAATCCCAGTTAAACCAATGAAACAAAAATAGTATATATGGTATTTTATTTATTGAGGAAAATTATCCAATTTTACATATTTGTGAGCAGCAAAAGTATGCGAACCTCTAGGATTATCAGTTAATTTGAAGGTGAAATTAGAGTCAGGTGTTTTCAATCAGTGGGATGATGATCAGGTGTGAGTGTGCACCCTGTTTGATTTAAAGAACAGGAATCTATCAAAGTCTGCTCCTCACAACGTGTTTGTGGAAGTGTATCATGGCACGAACAAAGGAAATTTCTGAGGAGCTCAGAAAAAAAGTTGTTGATGCTCATCAGGATGGAAAAGGTTACAAAGCCATCTCTGAAGAGTTTGGTCTTCACCAATCCACAGTCAGACAGATTGTGAACAAATGGAGGAAACTCAAGACCATTGTTACCCTCCCCAGGAGTGGTTGACCAACAAAGATCACAACAAGAGCAAGGAGTGGAATAGTGGGCGAGGTCACAAAGGACCCCAGGGTAACTTCTCTACAACTGAAGTTCTCTCTCACATTGGCTAATGTTCATGTCCATGAGTCCACCATCAGGAGAACACAACAACAGTGGTGTGCATGGCAGGGTTGCAAGGAGAAAGCCACTGCTCGCCAAAAAGAACATTGTTGCTCGTCTGCAGTTTGCAAAACGCCACGTGGACAAGCCAGAAGACTGTTGGAAGAAAGTTTTGTGGACGGTTGAGACCAAAATAAAACCTTTTGGTTTAAATGAAAAGTCTTATGTTTGGAGAAAGGAAAACTCTGCATTCCTGCATAATAAACTTATCCCATATGAACTGAATCTCAATAGAAGATGGGTCATGCAGCAAGACAATGTTTATTTATTTATTTTTTCTGCATACCTCTTAATTCGAAGGATCAGCTGGTCTCTCAACAAAATTGATCAACTTCTCCCGACAGGAGTCAGGGCATAAGGAGGACCCTCTTACCTCAAAAATAAACAAACTGGATTCATGATGACAACTGGTTTTTTTTTTCTGTTTGTTTGGTGATTTCTGGATTGTCTAAAAATTTGTGTGGATGTGTCGAAGCTCGACAGTGCTCAGACTGAATTTGGGGAGCTGCAGCAAGGAGCTGGAGCAGGCTGTTATCAGGACTGTGAACTTTCTGGCAGCACTCATGAATGGTGGGAATAATCTTGGAGAAGCTGTGAGCTCGATTTTTGGCGTAAAAGATCAATTTGGCTATTTTGGAGTTCCATCAGAGGAATATGTACCAGCGAGACATTAAAAAGATTGAGAGATCTTTTTTTTAATACCGTCTCTCCTCATGTTTTCTTCCCTTTTCTCATCTAAGCAAAATATTATTCTGAATAAGAATAATAAGGTCGTGCTATTTATAGCTGCATCTTCGTGCACTCCTCTCATCTTTCGGACGACTGTACGTACATGTTCGCGTTGTATCTCGGTGCAATGCCAATTAAGTTCATTCTGATTCTGAATCTGATTCTGACAATGACCCTAGTACAAGTCGTTCTACCATTTTCCTCAATAAATACTGGTAAATGACCAAGTATAATGTTTTTGTCTCATTTGTTTAACTGGGTTCTCTTTATCTACTTTTAGGACTTATGTGAAAATCTGATGATGTTTTTGGTCAAATTTACAAACAAATATAGAAAATTCTATGAGAGTCACAAACTTTCAAGCATCATTGTATGTTAACTGTGCTTTTGTAGCAAACTCAGTTTAATTTGATTACAAAACTTTTTGTGTGTGTGTGCACTACAGAAATTTTGACTTATGCCTTAAAAAGTAACAATTCAGAAAGGTATCTTTAAAAAAAATTAAAAGAAGCAACTGATTGACTTTTTTAGAAGACAATGTACCCTAGTAGACTTTGTTGACTTTTTGAGTTGTTTTCATTTAGTAAAATCTGTGTTATTGTCATAATTTATACAAAATAAAAATAAAGAAAAATAAACTACCGGTACAAACTTTACATAAATATAATAGTTTGAATGAACAATTAATTGTTTGTGATTCTAGCTGCTTTAGTAAAAAGTAATGTACTGGGTTGCAAATAATGAAAACTAATTGGTAAACTGCATTTGCAAGTGAGTCACCAGAGTGTTTCAAAACATTTGCGGTGGTTCTCAATTTCCTAGTTGCAGAGGTAGATAAACTTGACACTTGAGTTGTGAACATTTTTCCCAAAATGATGCAGCAAATTTACTGTTAAAAAATGGT